GCCAACTCCTAAACCCATCAGCGCCCCCAGACCCATCAAACCAGAGAGCCGAGGAATTATAGTTGTGGGTGCTGTTTCTGGATTGACGATCTTGCTTGGGTTCTTGTCGTGTTCTCAAGGGTGCCCTAGGGTTCCAGGTGAGTGCTCTCTCTCTCTCTCTCTCTCTCCCTCTCTCGGGGTGTGGTGTTCAGGGTCCTTCCTCAGAGTTTTGTATTTTTCACGTTTACCTATAGTCTCCATTGTAGTTCCGTCGTTTGTTGAACCAATTCTATACTTAGGACCATATAAAGGAACTGCAGTGAAGACTATGGAAGTCCCGGCCCATCCTACTTCATGGAGCTAGTTGGCGGTAGCCACAACCCTGAACCCTAAACCGTGGGGGTTTCTCCGGCAACCAGAACTGCCACCTCGAACCATGTAGGACCCCGAACACCATACATCATAAACGCAAGTAAGCCCGTCTCATTGATTTTCAGGTATATTCCCAGGGTGTTGGTGGCTCAACGGTGCATGAAATCACTGCATTGAACAATTTGGGGAAGTCAGGTTTCGTGGACAAAAACATGTAAATGTCTCAAAATGTGTTCGCCCTTTACGGGGGGTCCTTACACTTGACAAGGATCCTACTATTCACGGTTGATGTTCGCGCCCTCCAGTGTTCTCTGAATCTGCGCGATTGCCAGAAGCTAAGGCATTGAAAGCCGTCAATGAAGGTGAAGGCTGAGCCATTTCCGGAGGCCATGTGTTACATGTATGGTTTTGTTTACAACGCTTTAGAAGAGAGCCGTTGAGCTGGTAAAGTGGATTTGAGTACACCACAGCTGAAAAAGTGCTTGGCTGGTACACCTCGTAGCGGATGCTGAAGCTGTTGTGCCCGGTCGAAGTAGCAGATGTTCGCAGCCCGTCCATACCAATAAGAACAAGAATTCACGCACTTATTCTCGAATTATTGTGTTTAATTCCAGTGTCTGTATGCAGCCTCGTTTCGTGCATCTGACATTTATGCTGTTCTTCAGCTTGCGGCAACGACTTTGGAAGCCAGTTCTATGCCAACGACGGCCTATGCTTACCAAGGACATCCAAGGACCAATAATCGCTATGTGCACAAGTTAAAGTATACCTTGACCCCAAATACCCCAAATACCCGACCTTTTCAGGGATCCTCTTATATAGATCCTTAAGAAATAGGCTTCATAGGGTCCACGTATGTACACACCAGGCTCACACGGAGCTTACATGAATTAATATAGAGACCGAAATAATTGCTTTTTTTAGGGGGGAGGTGTCCTTATTATAGCTATAGTATAATATGCCCCCCAAACCTATTGTATTATTTGTAATTATTTAGGCCCCTACATTACAGAGAGCGGCGCATGGCCCACTGCTGTGGCCGTCAGGGCACGGCTCTGGCCTAATGTAACGTAGGGGCCTTAACAATTAGAAGAGGGTTTTGGGGGGTTCCTTACTATGGTCATAGTATAATATCCCCCAAAGCCCTATTCTAATTATCAGGGCCCCTATACTACCGATGGTCTCCATCGTAGTTCCTTCTGTAGGTTTGACCAACTTCAGATTTAGGATCTTATAAGGTAATCCAGAAAGGGAATTGCAATGGAGACTATAGCTGTAGCTACATGTTATAGAGGGAAGGGCAGATCTTTTGGTGGAGATTTGTGTGACAGCGCTGTTGGGTTCGCTTTCTGCGTTAGGCCTTGGGGCTTCCTCTGTGCTGCGAACTTGTACGCCAAATTGACGAGAATGGCGTCAAGGTGATGACACCCCAAGCTTTCAAAGAAGTAAAACGCTCAATCGAGGAGCTTGAATCCCCAAGCCCCGAACGTTGAAGTGAAAGCTTATCCTTCTGGGAAGTTCTGCAGATTCTTTCCAGGTGAGCCTGCAGAGCATCCACTCATACTGATTGCTGCCTGCATTCCTTACTTCTGCTTGGACGGAGGCCTGACATGGCTATACTTCTACTTCCAGACGGTAAGAGTCCTAGTATCTGGAACTGGGACCACTAGAACGACAGTCATAAGACTTGCTGTAGTCGGCAATTCAGGGTTCGTAGTTTAGATTTTGGTGATGACAGCCGCAGCCCAAACAGCAGACCCAATCCCCCAAAGTTAAAACCGTATGCCAGAAGGCGTCTTGGCAGACTGTACTACAACTTCGGGCGGCGACAGATCTGGAAGGGGCTGCTCTTAGCATGCCCTTTTTATGCCACAGGCATTCTAGTGCTAGGTACGACCACACCGTACCGTGTTCATGATGTGGCTACCTATGTAGGATGCATGCTGCTTCGGGGTGCGAGGGCTCTTGCATTATACTCGAGAGCGGCCTCGTGGTGAAACTTGCCGGCGGCATGCCACACTTGCGCGAAATTTACTACAGCAGCTTGGAATCCACCAACAGATTTCTTGATCTGGCAAGTCAGTCCTTCTGTGCAATCGCGTCTCTTTGAGGTGGGGACCTGGCCCCTCTCGGGGTTCTCCTGACCCCAGGGGCTCGCCACATCTCGTTACTGACCCTAATCCAGGTCGCAGAATCCGATGTGCCTGGGATGTTCCTCCGGGTCCAAAGAAAAGTCGCAAAGAAGACAGCCGCCCTAACCCCAAAACCCAAAACCCTAAACCCTAAACCCTAAACCCTAAACCCGAACCGTCGTCCTATGGAGCCGCAAATTTCAAGAAGCCCCAAATCCGAGCCGATGAAAGCGAGCGGTAACTCGGTAAGCGCCTGAAACAAGAAGCCTTGGGTCTTTTTAGCATGCAAAGTGCCAGCACCTCTCATGAATCTTGGATTTAAGAACCCAGAACCCCCTACCGTCAGAAGCCTCAACCTTCAACTTCAATCTTAAAGCCCGAAGCCCTAAACTTCAAATCTTATGGCTAAACAGACCCTGATCCAAAAACATGTCTGCGTGTTCCTTTCATTTGGACCCTCCTGGAGCACCGGGCGCCTTTGCAGCTCAAGAGCCGGCGAGGTAAAAACAAATTCTGTCACGAAGCCTCACGTGCCAAGTGCAGAAGGCCCTTTTACCCATAGGCCCCATAGTAGTTCCTTTTGGGGGGTTACCTTGTAGGATTCTCTTTATGAACCCCAAAAAGGGAACTACTATGGGATGGCGCCTATCCGTTTAGGCTTAGAGAACCCTCGCCTGCAGCGTCGAGTGCGAGTATTAAAAGAGTTGAGGTTTACCATCGAAGACTGAATCAAACACATCCCGGGTTTAGGGTTTAGGGTTTAGGGTTTAGGGGACCGTGGGGTCTACACCCTGAGCCCTATAGTAGGTAATGCCAGCAATCAGCACTGTGAGCGCATGTGTACCATGCTGCAATACATACGCTCCGCATAATGAAATACACACAGCCACGTCTGTGTTGCGAACAGACAAATGAGTGCAGGAGAAGCGCTTCATGTTGTGATTGGCCACTGGGTTTGGGACTGTTGTGGATTTGACTAGGGGCGCGAACGGTTGTGTCATCCTAGATCGAACACTCAAGCAGCTTCTCTGCACCACTCTTCCTACACCCTAGCTTTCACCCTACATGCCAAACCGGAAAGTCATAATCCCGATGAAACCTGTGTAGCCTAAACCTGTTGTAGAGTTGTAGAGGTAGCTTCATTGTAGAGCCTGTAAAGTAGTAGGCTATGATCAAATTATGGTGTATGAGTTTAGACCTTCACGTAAGCTTCCGCGACAGAACCCGCCCGGCCCCCACAGATACCTGGCCTGTGGGATCTGTCGATTGGCGAAGCACTGCTTCCGATTCCGGGAGAAAAAGAACGACACGTTTTATCATTCTTTGGGGCTTAGGCCCTAGGCTTTTAGGATTTGTGGGTTTAGAGTTTAGGGTCTAGAGTTTAGGCTTAGGGTTTAGGGCCTGGGCTGACGGTTTAGGGTTTAGTCGAGGGAGGCAAAGGGACAAGCAGGCATGTGAAGGTTTTGGCGAGTGAAGCGAGAAAATTTCAGGCTGTACTCGAAGTGGAAAGTGTGGTGGTCAATATCCGCACATGTTCCCTGGGCGTGGCTCCCGGCTGATTGGATAGAGGTCCGGGGTTCAAACAAGAATTCTAGCAATGTGAGTTAAATTAAAGACTTCACGGTCCAAGTTTTCGGGTCAGGGCTGTCCTCGCTGATGGATCCATTTGGACCCGTTTCGGGCAAGCAACAGGCTGTAAGCCTGACAGATATCGAGGTCTGGCTTCCACCATGCCTTATGCAGAAGACACAGGTTTCGGGTTTCGGTTGTTTTCGTTGCAGGATTCCGGAGGACTGCCACAAAGCTTTGCCCCAAGTAGGTTAAAGTGTTCCGGTGGAGCCCCATAGCGTGTACGCTGCTTGGGGAAAAAGTCAGCCTGAAACCCGCGAACATCCGCTAAGCCAGAAATGGGCCCCCAACACAAGAGACCCGGAAGCTACAAAGCCCTGAGCCCTAAACCTTTGACCCTGAAAACCGAAGTATCCACTACGGTCTAGATGCCCTGGTCTTGAAGCGGCAAGCTTCAACCGGAGACATATAGTGTTTAGGGTTTAGGGAACTTAGGGTGTTAGGGTTTATTAGGGTCCGGGTCCTTAGGTTCTAGGGTTAAGGGTCCAGGATCCCTAGGGTTGAAGGGTTTAGGGTCATGAAGTTCCGGGGTTTAAGGTTTCGGCTTTGGGGTTTAGGGTTTAGGGTTTAGGGTTTAGGGTTTAGGGTTTAGGGTTTCAGTGGAAGCGCTTCGGTTGTGGTTGCCCGCTGCTCCTGCCTCGAAGCACTTGAATCACTTGAGCTAGTTGCATAGGCAGTGATGCGCATGTCCAGGTACGGACCATCTGTTAGTTTAAGCAGTGTGGTGGGTAAATAGCTGGCTTTAGTTTCACATATAAGATGATTGCAAACACAAGGCAAGGCTTTCATGAGCTTGCACAGCTGAGTGTTTGACGTGTTTCATTGGCAAGGCGGATCTTGAGAGGAGAGTGATCACTTACACCGTGCAGACGTGGACTCTATGCAAAGATGGCCATGCAGGGAAGTCAGGCGCAGACTGGGGCCCTGAAGACTTGAGACCATGCCGTTCTTGACACCCTACCGCTATGTGCGTGCGTCTATGAGAGCCAAGTGTTGCCTCAGACTTTGACATCTATACTTCGTCAGATTAATATATTTATATATATATATACACACACGAATCTATACGGATCTTCAGCTGCAAACCGTAATTAAACCCTGAACTTCACACCCTGTGCAGCAGGGTATTCAGAAAAGTGCCCGACATCACTGTAGTATAGCAGCCTACCAAGCCGATTCTGCCATGTGGACCTCGTGACTTGAAGCTCAGGGCAACTTCTAAACGGGTTTTCTTGCGTTGGGTTGGCTTTGGCTAAGTTCCCAAGCCCTGAATTTAATGAGTTGAAGCTTCAACACCGTAAAGTAGTAAAGTGAGCATCCCCCAACCTCCTTCGCAACTTGCCACACCACGCGGTTGGCCACGTGTCGTGTGCCTTGGCTGTGGCAGGAGTCAACTTCCGGTCCCCAGCCAAAAGCTGAGGACCGAGGAGATGGATGTGTTCGGTCAGTGCGCGAGAAGAAAACATGTGATGTGGCACTAGTGTAAACTGTTATATAGTGGCCTCCGGAATTACCAAGACTATTGTGGAGGTTCCTTGTTATGGTTATAGCTTAACATGGCCCCAAAACCAATTTTTAAGGCCCCTGTACTAGAGTCGCATAGACTCCCCGCAATAAAGCCGAACTTGTTTGGTCATTGAGTACCTTTGCTCGCTTGCAGGACGAAAGGCTCGACTCCGCAAACAGCACCTCTTCAGCAATCAGTGTTTTGTGTCCTTCCCCATGTACTCATATAGAATACACATTGGCCTGAATGTAGTTCCTGTCTAAGTACTTTAGGGTCTATGTATATACTATATGGGTACATGGACCCTTTGGGTTTCTTTGGAGCAGCTGAAGATGAGACGCATCATAGGATTCTCAGTCCCGGCTGGAATGCGGTTTAGGGTTTAGGGTTTAGGGAGCGTTTTGCATGTCTTCCACAATGCTTCCCACAACGGGTTGTTTGTCGTGGAATACAAACCTTTGCGCTAAGCCAGAAACCCTAAACCACTTTGCTTACCACTAGAGGTTTCCTGCTGTGCAGTTGTTACATTGCCGAAGCATCCAGCAGATGAAGAGCCCTGGCACTTTTGACATGTATAGGGTTTAGGGTTTAAGGGGTTTAGGATTTAGGGGTTTAGGGTTTAGGGTTTATAGACAGAGAGACAGGGCAAAAGATAATAGGTGGATAGGCTCGGGGTGAATCCCCAATTACCGCTCATCAGTATCAGGGCCAGAACCTCTAAACCCGGAACTATTCCTGCAAGCCCTTTTTGTCGAGGCTCCCGCAGTTGTCGGAACACGAACACAGTGTCCCCGCGCTTTATGCGCGGCCTTCGCTTGCCGCCTCTGGCTTCCTGGCGGCAGAGAGGGTACAGAGATTCAGGGCTCTTGTTTTTGGATTTCAAGTCCGGGTTCAGGGTTTCAGAGCTTCAGAGTCTCTTGCGGAGTATTGGGCTACAGCTTGTGTGTTGTGAGTTTGGGGCGGGAAGCTTCTCATACCTCCATCTGTGAACCCCAAACCCCAAACTCGGCATAAAAGGGTATAGTGTTGACAGGGTTTCTTTCGGGTTCTTACGCTTTGACTTTTAATTAGCACAGGCAAGTTCCGACCAGAACGGGAAACGGCACAGAGAACTAATTCAGAACAAGCACGACACTGGGCACCCTTTGTGTGGCTGTTGCCCTAAGAGTTCTCAAGCCTGCGACCTTGGCCGACCAGAAGCTTGTCTCAGGGAGGCCTTGGTAAGCACCCCGAGAATCTGCAGCCATCAAAAGAAGGAAGTGGGATCTATCAGGCTACTTTTGGGCCTTGAGCCTGGCGAAATGTGGGACTTTCCGAAGATAGGGGGGGTACCTTATTTTGGGGTCCTTATTATTATAAGGATCCTATTATTTAGGGTACTATATTAGGGTCCCCTATTTTCGGAAACCCCCATGTAGACCTTCTGGAGTTCGAAGTGTATTATAAGCGAAGGGGTGATGTGAACAAATGTTCAACAGTTGCATCCCACCACCTCCTCCCAAATGCAAAACAGCAACAGCAAGCCAGAATCCCATGAGAGCCAGCATCAAGGCCCAAACGCAGGGGGAGGACCAAGGCTTGAAACATCTACTCGAGGAGAGGACGGTGTGCGTTCTTTAAGGGTTTAGGGCTTTGGGGTTTAGGGTTAAAGGGTTTTGGGGTTTAGGGGCGAAGGAGGCCTGACTGCAAAAGGGGTTTATTTGATTTAGGTCTCTGCTAGGTTTATAGTTTCTTCGGGGTTTAGTGTTTAAGCATCGGTTGTAGTAGGGATTTAGGGTGGGGGAATTTGCGCCTGTAGGGCTTCTGACGTCTTTTGGAGTTTGGGGCTTTGGGGTTCGTAGTAGCTTGGTATTTGGCTTGTCTCCTTCTGTGGGCTCTTATAGTCTTATAGTCCTACCTTTATTGACTGGCCAACCATTGAGGTTAACCTTTTCTGGAGGTCAAAGCACTAACTCAGCAACCAGGGGTTTATAGCAGGGGTGATCGATCCTATAATAAAAGGGTGCACGAAGTTCGACCTCCAGATAGTCCTAGCAATATACTGTGCTGGTTTAGGGGGTTTAGGGTTTTGGGGTCGGAGTTCAAAAATTCAAAACAGGAGACCCTCGTGCAGACTTGAAATCAAATGGGATCCTCATTACAAGAGGGGTTCAGAAAGCTGAGGGCCTCTTCCTAGGGGTCCTTACACTCAGAGCCCTATGGTGTTGGGATTCCTTGCTTTCTGGAGCTTTGAGACTGTTTTGGGTTTTGCTGGCTTCAAGTGACGATCGCCTGATGAATGAAGAGGTAGGTTCTCAGGCAGCTAATGGTGTGGCACTCGACACACACACACACGCACATGCGCGCGCATTATCAGTGCTGGACAAGTCACAGCTGCAGATACCTCTGTGATTTTGCATGGCAAGCTTACATTGACAGGCGCCTAGCTTGTGCTATCGCACCTGCACTTCACAACTATCAAGCTGGGGCGGCGTGTGAACGGAAGCAGTTTCAGCCCACTGCTATCACGAAGCAATGTGCACCGGAGGAGATCCCCAGCAAATGGTTTCTGGATGATGAGCTTCCTGGCCTGGCCTTTATGTTTTATCCCCGGGCCCTAAGATCTGAAGCATCATCGGTTAACCGAGGGTGTTTCTCGGAGCCCCTAAAATTCTGAAGCGGATTGCAGACTCCCCGGGCAGTCTGGTGGACGGCCGAAGCGTGAGTTGTTCCCGGCAGACATTGTGATGGAAAACCAATGGTTTAGGGCTTTGGCTTTTTGGGTCCGAATTTCCATCTTCTGGGCTCTACTGCTTTTGAGACTCCGATCCTACAGCCCCCAAACCCACGGCAAAGCGAACTTCTGGGTCATTGTCCGGTTGCAGCCTGAAGCCTTGGCCGAAAGCCATATGGCTTAGCAGCTTCAGACGCTAGCAAACGCCGGGCTGCTTTTGCTACCGTGCCAGCGCTACATTAATATCCTCCAGAACCTCTTGTGCCGAACCTTCAAAGTCTCAACTTGCCCAAAGGGTCCTATGTGTGCACCAG